AACAGGAGAGGATGTAACAGTGGTGTTGACATAGCTTTATTGTCAGTTTCACTAAGGGTAGAGGATTATAACTAAGGTTACATGAAAGGGATACCTACAGTAGCATGTCCCTGTTTTCTAAGGTCTATGTTCTAAGTTAACTCGCATAAAAATGGTCACTGAACTAATCTTAACGTGAAAATGGCAACATTTTCCCAAAAAACGTCAATCCAAATCTAAAAGTAAGTAGCACTTTTGAAACAAAATATATATTTTGATAAAATGTATATCCTATGTATATACGTCGAAATACAGTTAGGCAGCATGTTGTGCTGTTCAGTCAATGTGTTATGGAGATTCTTGCTCATTTGCATAACCTATCGCCGTGAATGGACGCTGATTGCTGTCAGTTTACTCTATTGCGATTAATAAATAAATAAAATCTCGTCACTGAACGTATGTCGCAACACTTTCTTCAGTTGCCATGTCGGGCTGTTATCACTCATTAAATTGTTTTTAAAAGCAGGAAAAATATGTATAATATTAATAAGTTTATCACGAGGTTACTGTAAGTCGGTCGATACGATCACCATACTGTCTTCGTGCATACTTTGCGGTATTCTCGTAATAATCTAATTTTATTTTACATCCGTTCCCGTCACGCCACAAGTTACAGCGTGCCGCCTAATTTTGCGGTATCATTTTACGGGGTATTTTCATCCTACCATATTAGGAAATGCGAATTCCAAATATGGAATGATTACGCACGTCTTCTAATAATAAAAACAAACATGGCTGCCACCAGAGTGTGACCGGACTCCCTACAAAGAATTTCGCTGATTTTGTTCTAAACTTTTTGGATTTTGGCATTCCCATGATGTATCCTTTGAAGGATAAGATGTCTAATAATAAGGTTATTACGAGAATAGCACAACGTATGCACTCAGACAGTACGCCGCGCATCGACCTCCGCTGCGCGTCGGTCGATACTCCAGCTCATAGTTCCATGTCCAGCTGTACTGTCTTCGTGCATACTTTTAGGTATTCTCGTATTAAGCTTATATTATTATACACCTATCACAAAAACAATAGAATTCATCCGCCCGTAAATGCTTTGTGGGCGTGTTTGAATATATTTGAATATCTTAAATATATTTTGAATATATAGGCACAATAATAACGTCATGGAGCACAAACGATGGCACAGACATATTTTTTGCAGGCATTTTCGGGATGATATATCTCGCCGAATTATTACCACATGAATATTACGAGAACACCGGAAAGTATGCACTTAGGCAGTACGAGCTCGTATCGACCTATACCACCTTTATGTATATTTTGCGGTATTTTCGTAATAACCTCACAATTTTAAAAATTTCATCAGGTTGTACAATTCAAAGATTTGTGCTTGAAAGGTGTCGGTTATAAATAAAGTAATAACAGTCATTTTTGGAACATTTATTGGTTGAAATAGTGAAAACATTATATCTCAAATGTGTGCGTGATAACACAAAGTAAAAATGTATACTGTGATTTTGTTGCCCTGACTTACATTAAAAGTATGGGTTTAATAAAAAAAATTGTAAAATAACTCCATGGTTTTAAACTATTTGATAACATATATTCGTGTTTCTCTAATGATGTTCGGTCTGGAATGAACATGGTTAATTTGCCTGCCACCCCCGTCGAAGAAAATAATCAATTATTTAATCACATTTTCATTTCTACAAATGATATGAAAATTAACCGCAGTACTGTAATCATAGTTCATCTTCACTGTGTTTTTATTTCGAGACACACTTGATACTGATCATACTCAGAAATGACATTTGAAATGCATACTGGAAAACGTCATTTCTAAATGAAGCCCGCATAATATTTATATTATTTTGTTGAAAACGAGACTCAATTGAATTGATCAGATGATCAGGTGACGTATAATTTGATATTATTTTTGTTACAAGACGTCATTATTTCCCCCAAAATGGTCACCATAGCAATTATATCAACAAAAATCGTCGGTGAACATTTGGTTGGCTGCTGTTATTTTTATTGTGTAAATTAATACTCTATTCATTATTGAGGAATGCATTATACAACCCGGTAAAAACATTGTCTATGAAATACCTTTCGTAAAAAAAGATAAATGCATTACACAACATTGGAAACATACTGCATAACAATGCATCATATAACACAGAAAATGCACTGTATAACACTGAAAACATACATGTAATGCATAACATTAGAATTGTGACTCATACGGACAAAGATCAGATGACGACTTTGACCGAGACGCTGCCAAGCTTTAACTAGGTAGTTTCCTTGGTTGTTGGAAGAAGTCGAAGGAGTCACCGGCGGTAATTAGTGCACGTACGTTAATGTGTTAAAGCTAAATAATTTAAAATAGTTAGTCGTCAGACGGAAATGTGGATGAATGTGCAGACAGTGGCCGCGCGCGACTTAATCGAACACTTGAACATATATCACGCACAAACAGAAAACATGGAAATGGTCTATTTATGGTGTCTTTATAAAGGAATAAATACAGGTTATAAATATGAATGTAACAATAAATAATTCTCACACATAAACAACCCACACTTGGTTACAGTGTCACATCATGATCTATGACTTCCAGATAATATACAGTACGCATGTATCTATAAATAGTGTAAATATAAACATGTATAACTCACATAAAATAGAATATATTTCTTGTACCATGTGATTTTAAAATTAGTTTGTCAAAAACAATATATATAGAATAAAAAAAAAGTATGCCCTTTCAATAGTACAGGCCACTCTTGAACTTGCGTTGTTTGTTATCGCTACATTTTACTCCAGTGTGTGTCTCCCATATCACACGTCCTCCCTGCACTACAGATTTGAATTTGCAAGACACGTCTGCACTACAAACAGATTTCAATCACAACAGAGACGATTGTTATAAGCAACTGCATAAATTTGGCGACCATATTTTGTAACAAAAGTATGGCAACTGAACATACGTTGCTTTTTCCATACAGGATACTCTTGCACGTGTTTTTATGTTGAGATGCAATCACCAATAATTATGGTAAAATCACCTGCCCGATCTATCCACTAGTGTATAGTGTAGCGACAAATCTGACAGGAACTGTCGGATCATGCTTATTATCCCAAAGCTAGCTTATGACTTGAACATCTGCGTTTTGTCAAATAAAATGCCAATGTACTATCCTGACGTCACGGTGTACAATAATCTCGACCGCGGAATGACGTCATAGTTCGCCACAGAAGTTATTTGACTTTCACGCAGGAATGCGAGAAGAAACTCGTGGGTGGAAGACGAGTAACTACTCTGTGGTAACGTTGGGCGTTCAAATCCTAGTAAATCAACACAGATATTTGCTTACAATTCTTAGAAATATTTTAAACGAAAGTCATATGAAAATTTGTGCTTACAACTGGTTTTTAAATCCGTGT